TGCATCTGCCTGGCTCTGCAGAACCAACACCTCCCCTCTCCTCCACAGCACTGACTCCATCCCTGGGCTGCCAGCCAAGCTGCAGCCCTCCCCCAGAGGGGAGGAGTGACACAGCCAGGGAGGCTAGGTGTCCCTTTAATTACAATCCCAGAAGGAATAGGTGCTACAGCTCCAGTCACGCCCAGCCACAACATTTGCTACCAGCAGGTCACATGCAGCAGCTCCCCTGGGCAATTGAAGGGTATCAAACTTTATTATAGATCTCTTTAAAACAGGCTGGAAGGAACAAACCAAACTCATTGAGATATAGCAACTGAGTCATCATTTCTGATCAAGCCCCAACTCTCCCAAATTATTTATATATAATATATCCCACCCGTCCCCTAAACTGTTCTAATTAAGTGATCACATTTCAGACCACCCTAAGTGCCTTAACATCAGCTGCTGCTAACATCACAATGCACATGTTTTCTGGCAAATCAGAGGCAGGGTCTGGGTTTTTTGGGGTGCTTAGATCCTCAATCTCTGAAAAGGAGGAAGGAAAAACAAACATCAGGAAAATTGCTTCTTTAAGGTTGCCTTTTTACAGCAGGTATAGATTCGGCAGAGTTCCCCCCCAAAGCAAGTCTGAAACCCTCTTGTTCAGCTTCGCAATAAGCAGAGTGTTTGAGGAGAACCAGCCGGGCCAGATCAGTCTGAACAAACGGATTTCGAGGCTTTGTTGTCATTTCCCTTTGGGTCCAGTTTCCAGCGGTTTTCCAATGTCCTTCCCACGCAGTTTGAGGCCTAGAACAAGACAAAGAAGACCACCACCATCAGCACTCAATCATTCATCCAGTAACTTTATGTCCTTCAATTTTGGCTATAAGGAAGAGAGCATCCAAAAAAAGAGGGCAGGGGAACCACAGTTTGTGAGAATCCTACTTTAGTTTCTAGGAGCACCAGACCAACTTCAAACAAGACCAACTGTCCTCCTAGGAAATGGGATCTGAACTGGCCCGGGACAGGAACACCAACACTAAATCCTTCCTCAAGTGCCCTCAGGCCTCCGTGGGTCTCAGCATCTCGCTGGTTTAGGGGGGAAGCACACAGGGGTGATCCCCAGGACATGGCCCCATGCATGAAGGTGTAGACAAAGAACAAGAGCTCCCAGTTCTGGTTCAATCAGCAGACCCAGGTTTTATCAGAACACAGGTGGCACCACACCCACGATAACCTTCAGCCAGCAACATCATGACAAGGAAAATGTAAATACCTTCCCCCAGCCCATCCCTCCCAGGCCCTGGAAGCATCGAGTCTCCCTTTGCTCACCGATGGCTCTCTCGATCTTGCCCATGACCTGGTTGTTGGGGATCGCTCGTCCCGACTCATAGTCAGCGATAACTTGTGGTTTTTCATTGATTTTCTAAAAATGGAGGATGAGTCTCAAACACAGCAAATGCTCAGCAGCAGCCCCCCAGGACTCACACAGGTAAAGAACAGGATTATGACAGGATAGATGACCAAGTGCTGCTCCCAGGCTGACTCCATCCCCACTGGCACCTCCCTGCACTGGTAACATCCATCTTGGACAGACTGCAACCTTCCTCCCTCCCAGGAGGAGCAGGAACACCAAGGACTGCTGTTCCTTCAGACAGCAGTGAGCTCTCGCTGCTCAGCCCCAATGGTACAAACCCCGGAGACTGGTGAAGCTGCCGGGGTGGGGGGGGAGGAGCAGCCTCCCACCTCCCAGCTCAGCAGCCACAGCAGGCTCTGCCTCCAAGCTGGGGCTCGAGGGCTGCACAGACAAACCCCGAAACATTTCCCAGACAACTGAAGGCACCAGGAGATCAGACACCAGAGATGCTCCACTCCACAGACTTCCTGCCCGTGACACCATCCCACTGCAGCTGCCCACGGGGGACAGAAAAGGTGCCCACCCTCACCCACAGATGCCAACCCTGCCCCAGGTGCCCCTCACCGTGGCCAGGTCCTTCTGCGTGAGGCCCTTGCTCTGCCGGCCCTGCTGGATCACTTTGCCCACCTCCAGGGAAACTCTGTCATGGTGCAGCTCCTCTGTTTCACGGTCAAGCTTGGCCGTGTTCTTTGTAATGAAGTGTTGTTTGTTCTGGCCTGCTGCCCCTGTTATTCCAAGAGAGAACAAAAAAACAACCAAGGACAAACAAATCAAGGCTCAGAGCTGTGCCAAAAAGTATCAAAGGGCTTTTTCCAAGCCCTCAGCTGCTCAGGATCCCAGAGAGCTGTCAGGATTACAACATGCCAACATCAGCACTGATCTCACCCAGATCCTGCCCATCAGGGCAGCCCTGTTCATGGTGCTGTGCAGAGCACAGGCCTGCAGAGGCCCCTTTCCATACTTTACATCTGAACTTCTCTCCAGACAGGCCAGGTCTTGCTTTTCCTTCGGGATTTAATACTCAAACTTCACTCCAGACACATGTTTGTGCTGCAGCGTAGGGGGGTTAATACTTGAAGTCGAATCTTGTTTGCTCAGGTATGAGGCAGCACGAATAAGGGTCTTTTAACCAATTTTCTGATGCCTTTTACAAGTAAATTCTAACTGTACTTAGCTTCACTGAAAGCCTGAGGTCCAAAATCACATTATTTGTTTTGTTTCATTTTACGGTATTTAAGTCTTAAGTTGGATCCTTTGTCTCACATTAGTCTTTGACGTTCAGTGTCTCGACACAGCTGACTAAACTTCCTTCAAGAACCATCTCTTTCTTTATTTTCAACCATCGGAATCTCCTCCCTACAGTGAGAGAACCTGGGAATTTACTTCAGACAGGAAACAAGGGATTTTTACAGAGAAGCGCCACAGGAAGATAAACAACCGTTCAATCTCTCAACAGAAATAAGTTGCAAAAATGGGGAGCTTAAGTTTTGCGACCAGAAGAGCTCTCACAAGATCTCTGCAGAAACCAGCCAGGGCTGTGCTCTGGGCCACCAGAACCTCAGGGGGCGTTATCCGCGCTCCCGAGGCGCGCGGGGGTCTCGGGTCTCTGCGTTAGGCCCAGCTCAGGGCGCCGGCTCAGCCGGGCGGTGCCGCCTCCTTCCCCCCCACCCACAGGCAGCCGCCCCCGGGGCCGCCCCAGGTCGGGCCGGGCCGGGCCCCCCTTGCGGGATACCCACACTTCTTAGAGGTCTCCACGTCCTCCCCGCGCCGCTGGGCCGCCAAGATCGCCTGGGGAGAGAGCGAAAGTGCGGGCTGAGCGCGGCACAGCTCGGAGCCGCCGCCTCGGCCGCACCAGGCCCGGCCCCGGCCCCGCAGCCCCCGCGCCGCCCGGCGCTGCCCCCGCTGACCTGCTTGGACTTGGCCTGGGCGGCGCTCGGGCCCTTCTTGCGCAGCACCGTCACCGTGTCCCAGTCGCTCTCCGCCATCGCTGCGACCCCGCCCGGGCCGCGCCCGCCTGGCCCCGCCCCACCCCACCCCCGGGGAGGGGCCAGCGCCGCGCGCGTGGATTGGGCGGCGCGCACGCCCGTCACGGGTAGAGCCGCTCATTGGCGGGGAGCGGCGCTAGCGCGGCGGGCGGGGCCGCGCGGCCCCCATGGACTTGGGCTTACCAGAGCCCAGCGTGACGTATTGCTGCTAATAGGTGTAAAGCCTGCCAATCAGCCTTCTCGCGCTTCGATTGGCTAGCTAGCCAGTCAGCCTGAAGGCGGGCAGCATGCGCCCCTACACGCTGCGATTGGCTGCTGGCATTGTCAGTAACCCGGTACCCGGCACGGATTGGTTTTCTCTCCGGTGCTGTCACATCCGTTGACCAATGGTCGTGCCCGGCTGAGACGAGCCGAGCACGCGCAGAGTGGCGGCCCGCGGTGCCTGTACCGGGCGGTGGGGGAGCCTTCCCGCCCCCGAGAGCGGAGACGGGACCGGGCCCGAGGGGACACGGACAGGGCCGAGGGGACACGGGACAGGGCCCGAGGGGACACGGGAGCAGCGGCTGAGGACACTGCGTTGGTTCAGCCCAGGGAAGGGGATACAGAGGACTGACCGCACTGGGGTCTACAGCTCCTCCCAAGGGGCAGCTCCCATCTCTGCTCCTGTGACCAGTGACAGGACCCGAGGGAACGGCTAGAGCTGTGTCAGGGCAGAATTAGGTTAGATCTCAGGAAAAGATTCTTCCCCCAGAGGGCGGTTGGGCACTGACCAGGCTCCCCAGGGCAGTGGTCATGGCCCCAAGGCTGACAGAGCTCAAGGAATGTTTGGACAGCATTGTCAGGGACAGGGTGGGATTGTTGGGGTGTCCTGTGCAGGGCCAGGAGTTGGACTGGATGGACCTTGTGGGTCCCTTCCAGCTCAGGAATTCGATGAAACTTCCTGAATTGCGTGAGAATCACCCAGAGAGTTCCGCAATAAAGGCAGGAAAAGCTGCTCCTGCTCTCGTCATTTCTGAAGTGAGAGGGGACGGGGTTAACGCTCCCCGTGTGGGTTTTTGTGGGGTCTCCCCATGACAAAGCGCAGGAGGAGTGGCTGGAGCCCGGTCATGGTGATCTGGGCACTGCTCGGAAATCAGGCGCCGGGAGAGCACAGAGGTTTGTCATCTGTCGTCTGTCAGCCGTCACTGCAACACGCCGGGCCCCGGCTCCCGGGGGGCGGGAAAGAGCAACCGTGGGACGAGAGATGGAACGTCAGCGGGGCGCAGGCCGTGCAGTGGGGCCGGGGCACAGCAACAGCAGGAATGGGAGCAGACCCAGGTGGCCCGGTCTCATCCCGTCGTCACTGGAAGCAGCCCCGGGTGGTCCCGTCCCGCAGCGGGTGCTGTTTCCTGCCCCTTTGGGAACAGCACGTCCTGCCCCGGCACTGCTGCCAGGTCACGGGCAGGTCGGGAAGTGCAGGCAGGGTTTTCCTTGGCTGGATGACATCACGCAGCCGAGAACTCCAAGCCTGCAGAGCTTTCCATGCTGGTGTTCCCAGAGCAGTGCGGTGTGCCGGGAAAAGGGCGGTTGCAGTGCAAGGAGTGACGCGGTGCCGGTGCGGGAGAGCTCTGCTCGTGCCATTCCCGGTGCCGACAGGGATGTCCCGTTCCCGGCAGCCCGGCGGCAGCCTGAGCAGGACGTGGTGCCGCCGCGGCCCCGCCGTGCCCCGAGCCCCGACCCGCTCGGCCCCGTCCTCGCAGCCGCGCTGCCAGGGGAGCCTCCTCGGCGGCTCGGTCAGGGCAGCACTGAGCCGGCTGCCCCGGCTCTGGCCGGGCAGGATTTCCCCAGCCCGGGTGAATTCCCCGCAGTGAGAACGTGCCAGCGGTAAAGCCCTGGAGCCCGCGCGCCGAGGCGGGCTCGGGGAACTGCGGGCTGGGGACCCCGGGTGACAAATCCTGCCGCGGTGACCTTTCGCTGAGCAAGTTCCCCTGCGAAAAGCACCTCGCCGCGGCTGTGCCGCGCCTTTCCCCCCACGGCGTTTGTCCTGCCGCCGCCCACCCTTCCCGGCCTCCCCCTTCGCGTGTCCTCGGGAAGGCGCCACGGGACGCGGGGTGGCTATGGCACTCTGTGCGCAGGTAGGGGAGCACCCACCGCTGCCCAAAAGTGGCTTAAAGCAGTTCCTCAGGGTGCCAAGGCTCACCTCAGGCCGCTCCCGAGGGACCAGGGGCTTCTTACCCGGCGAATGCAGCGGGAGGGTGTCTGTCCCTCGGTGGGACCCCGCGGGGGGATCAGGGTGCCCTCGGGCTGAGCACCACAGTCTCTCCGGGTCCCCTTCCAGCAGGTGCAGAGGGTGGAGGGGGGTCCCAGGGGGTGGATAAGGGGACCCGGGGGGTGTATGGGGGGTACCGGGGGGTGTATGGGGGGTGGATGAGGGGACCCTGGGGATGGAAAAGGGGACCCAGGGAGGCGTATGGGGTGTCCCAGGGGCTGTAGGGGGGTCCAGGGGAGTGGAGGGGGAGTCCCAGGTGGTGTATGGGGGGTCCCGGGGGGTGTATGAGGGGACCCTGGGGGTGGATAAGGGGACCCAGGGGGTGGATGGGGGTTTCCGAGAGGCTGGGTTCATTGCCAGTGGGGTGGCCTGAGGCAGGGATATGGCAGTGGACCGTGGGGGATCATCAGGACGCGGTGCTGAAATGAGAAGTGGCAGAGGGTGTGTGTGGGGGGGCTGTGTGAGGGGGCGACAGGGATACTGAGTGGGTGACAGTGGGTATGGCAGGAGGCATAACTGGGGGTGTCGGTGTGGGGGTGTTGGGAGGGTGATAGGGATTGGTGTGGGGGTGTTGGAGGTGCAGGGATGGGTGATGCTGTGGGGGTGACGGTGTGGGGGTGTCTCTGTGGGGGTCTTGGGTTGCCGGTGTGTCGGGGTCGGTGTGTCGGTGTCATTGTGTCGGTGTGAGGGTCCCGGTGGGTCCCGTTCGGTGTCGAGGGCGGGGCCGTTGCCCGTTGTGGGCGGGGAGGCGTGGCCATGTGGGGGCGTGGCCATGTGGGGGCGTGGCCATGTGGGGCGTGGTCATGTGCGGGGGCGGGGCCCGGCGCACATACGTGTCCGGGGGCGGGGCCCGGCGGCGTTTCCGGTGCGGAGCGAGGGGCGGTGAGTGCGGGCGGGGGCACCGGGGGGGGGGGGCGGGGGGACGGGGCCGGAACCTGAACGGGCCTCCCTCCGCCTGCGGCCCCCGCCGGCACAGAACCCTCCTGGGTCTGGCACAGACCTCCCCGGGTCGCGGGGTGTCCGCTCGTGGGGGCTCCCCGCGGAGCCAGGCTGGGAGAGCTGGGGGTGTTCACCTGGAGAAGAGAAGGCTCCAGGAAGATCTCAGAGCCCCTTCCAGTGTCTAAAGGGACTCCAGGAGAGCTGGAGAGGGACCTGGGACAAGAGATGGAGGGACAGGACAAGGTGAAATGGCTTCCCACTGCCAGAGGGCAGGGTTAGATGGGATACTGGGGAGGAATTGTTGACTGTGAGGGTGGGGAGGCCCTGGCACAGGTTGCCCAGAGAAGCTGTGGCTGCCCCTGGATCCCTGGAAGTGTCCAAGGCCAGGTTGGACGGGGCTTGGAGCAACCTGGGCTAGTGAAAGGTTTTCCTGCCCATGGCAAGGGGATGGAATGAGATGAGCTTTCAGGTTCTTTCCAACCCAAACCAGTCTGAGATTCCATGTATATGCTCCCTTGGGCGTTCTGGGTGGTTGTGGGATGTACTCTTCAGTGAATGAATGTGTGAGATGCACCTTTAGATCATCATAAGCAGTCAAAACAAACGCATTTTGTTCTTTTCCTCCTTTCCAATTTGCTTGTGCCTCTCATGTGCTCATTTTCCATCCTTCTGAAGAGCTATGCATGCCTGCTTGGGCATCACCAGTGAATCTGGGCTGCACTGTGTGTCCCTGGGACCAACTGCCTCGAAGCAGAATTTTGGTGCTTTCTGACAGACATGAGAACAAACATTGGTAGGCTGTGGTCATCTCACTCAGTGTCAACAGGTTCTTGGTGGACTGGGGCCATTTATTGTATTCCTCATCAGGTTTAGGACAGTTTTTTACCTTGTTTGGGGCCAGAAGCCGTGATTTCTCTGAACAGACTGCATTTCAGTCAGCTTGGACAGGGGGTTTTATGAGGTCTGTCCACCCTGTCTCTTTGTTCTGGATTTAGTTCTAAAATTCAAGTTTTCTCCCATGTTTTTAACCAGGTGAAAGTAGGCTTGTGATGTGGTTTACATCAGTGTGTTTGCCTGTGTTGGTGGGGTTTGGGGGCCAGCGTAACATGGCTGTGAGTAACGTGTTCATATGAAAAATCACGGCCATGCTGTTATAATCAAATAGGGGAAATTCTTTTATTTTCAGTCTCTGGAGATACAGCCAGAACTTTTCGTTCACATGGCAGCAGCAAACTCTTCTCCACCTGGTTCTTTGGATGTAAGCCAGCCTGGGTTTGCAAAGGAGATCCTGGGAACTAAACTGGAGGTCAAATACCTCTGCTCTGATTGCAAGAACATCCTGAGGCGGCCGTTCCAGGCGCAGTGTGGCCATCGCTACTGCTCCTACTGCCTGAAGAAAATCATCAGGTAACTGTTGTGCCTTCAGGATGGACACAAAATGCTTGAAAAGGTATTTTCAAGATAAAAAGGAGAGAAAAAGTCTCATTTTCAGAGCCCTCTCAGCGAGGGAGCTGTGTTTAATCATTGAGGGTCAGCATCACCTCTTCTCTAAGGGAATGTCTAATCTCTGACTTGCCTTCATTGTTGCTTCAGAGTTCCCTTTTCCATAATTTCCTGGATTGTTTTTGCTGTTCAGGAGGCAATCCAGGCATATCACCCATCTCCCTCAGTCTTCATCACAGCTGTTGAATGCTCCTAAAAGTCATCATTTGGTTGTTGTGTCAAAGTGGAAGAGATTTAAGCACAAGCTGGCTTCCAGATAAGTTTCCTTGTGTTCTGTCTCACTCCTGCCATTAAGTGAGGGAAGCTTAATAGAATGGTTAATCATGAGAAGAAAAAAGAATTAGAAATAGGCATCAAAAATACACACAAGGAAAAGCTCGATGTCATGTTTTAAAGATAGAAAAAGCTCTTTGATTTTGTAAAGTTACCAGAAGTCACTTTATTGCTAAATCATAAATCAATTCCTTTTTGTTGTGTTTGATGATTATTTTTCTGTCTGATAGTGCTGGACCTCAAAAGTGTGCCAGCTGTATCCAGGAAGGAATATACGAAGAAGGAATTTCTATTTTGGAAACAAGCTCGGTAAGAAAAAATGCACTTAAGAAAAAATTAACAGATCACTGGTGTCACTAATTGCAGTTTTTGTTTAAAACATGGGCTCTGAGAACCCCTTATTCCTAGGAACCCTTTTCTTCAGTAATGAGAGTGGTGACTGCTGTGTTGGCCTCCCCGGTGCTGAAATCCGGGTCACGTGTGTGCGGTGGTGCCCTACTTAATGCTGTCACAGCAATTTGGTTGCCATTAGCACACCTCCCAGGCTGCGATGGGGCAACTGGCCTGGGAGGAGTCTTCAAAAAGAATTAGGAGTCCTGATCAAAACTGCAACCCCTCAGTAGTATTTGTGGTTTGCTTGTTTTTTGCCCTCCAGGCTTTCCCCGACAACGCGGCGCGGCGGGAGGTGGAGAGTCTGCCAGCCATGTGCATCAACAGCGGCTGCACCTGGAGGGGCACCATCAAAGAGTACGAGGTACAGGCCACACCAGGGCTTGCCACGTCTGCACCCTTCTTTCCTCCGTGTTCGGGGAAGGCTCGGGGGTTACCTGTGCCCACTGAGGGTGGGGTGGGAGCTGTCAAATCCCTGGGCTTCACTGTAAACTGGCGAGGTTCCCAGAGCGAGGGTTTGTATGCCCTGCTGAGGGCACAGGCTGGACTGAGACCGTTTCAGGTTTGCTTGCGAGCACGTCGCTTCCATGGTGGGAGCCACCTGCTATGTCTCCAGCTCCTTTCTGCTATAAAAGACTATCAAGAAACGGTGCTGTGCCATGAAGTTGTTGTGAATTTCTCTGCATTATATGAACCTAAAACCTCCTTCAGATCCATCAGCTCAGGGAAGGTGGCCTGGCCATGACCCTATTTCAGCTGTCCCCATAGCTGCCAGGGCAGTGGGACTGAGCACTGGCTGGTCACCCATCACCCCAGGCTGTTCTGGGCCACAAGCCTGGTTTTTCCACCTCTGCTCTTCTCAAGGAGCCCACTAGCTTTTTAATCCAGGTTTTAGTTGTGGCCATGGGCGCCTGGTCCATAGCATGTGAATCTGTATTCACCTGTGAAGCTTTGGTGCTCCCAAAGGATAGTTTTATCATCCCTCTTGGAATGGCAGAACCACCATGTGGAGGGGTTGAGATAAGAGGGATTTTATTTCCCTCTAACACTTGCCCCAGGTAAAGATTATAGCCTTGTGGTTCACAGAGCTCTGGTAGCGACTGAGATGTGTGTCAGGAACAGGCTTCACCTTGGTTTGTCGAGGCTAACGTTGGGATTTTCTCTATGATGCCATTGCAAGGTGGAAGGAAGAAGCAACAGCTGCGCATCAGGCCTGAACTTTCAGCCCAGGCTGCTGAACCTTTTAGCAGAGAGGTGCTTCTGGAGCTCTGCTTCCTTGTCCTGCTCTCTGAGCCTTCTGCTGTGTGCTCAAAGTTCAGTCCAGAGGATGAGGGTGTCAGTGCTAAATGGCTCTGCTGCTGTGAACCCTCATTCATAGATCTGTGAGAGACTCATGGTGTGGATGTGGGACAAGAAATGTCAGGTGAAAAGCTTAACACTGCTGCAGCATGGAGAGTTTGGGGGTTGCATTTCAGGGAACAGGGTGTACCCTGATTCCAAGGTTCAGGCTGTGCTGGTGGTGCCTGCAGATTGTTTGCTTCATGCTTCGATTTCTGCTGGTGTCCATAAGCCTGATGCTCTCTGCAATGATTATAGTGAGCTCATCTCCATTAGACTAAACCAGATGGCGTCTGTCAGCAGCTTCCAGTGCTGAATGTGCTGTGGCTGATAAGCTGTGCTGAACTTCTTCTGGGTTTAAGAAAAATCTTAACACATTCCTGCAGAGCTCAGCAAAAATCATCAGCTACCAAAGGTCCTCCCTGTGCGGCCTAAAAATATTTGAGTGCTTGAGTCTGGCCAGGGCTCCCCCTGGGATTTCAGAGGAGCAGGGAGCTGTCCTGGGATCAGGCTGGCTTCTTGCAGGGCTGCAGGTGTGTGTGATGCCCCAGAACCTTACACACAGCTGCTGAAGAGCTCCTGAATGGATGAGGCTGTGCCTCTTTTTTCCTTCACACCTGATCTTCCCAAGCCCCAGTTTGGTGTTTGCTCAGACAAAGGGTGTTTGAAAGAGGTGGGCCCCATAGCTTGTGGGTCTGTGGCACACCTCTCCCTTGCCAGGGGTTTGTGAGTCTCCACCGTCCTGATTTTTGTGAGTCTTAGGGCAGTCCTGTGTGTGTGAGGGTTGTGGGGGTTTGGAGCAGTGCTAGCTGGTTCCTCTCACAGTTGATTTGCCTCTCCTGCCTGTCTGGTGGCATTCAGCCTAAGGGAGGAGGTTATTTTGTGCTGTCTTGGGAGAAGCTGGTTCTTTCCTGGGAACTGGTGGGAGGAGGCAAGGTCTGGCCTGTGTTATCTCCTCCCAGCTGCCCGCCAAAGAGCTGTGGCGTTTAGTCAGTGCTGGCTGTCTCCATGCTGTCAGAGCTGTGTGGCTGGGAAAGGAGGCACCGAACAGCTGCGTTGGCCCAGAGCCTCTCAATACTGTGGACTAGTTAAACCCAGCCTTCAGGGCCACAGCCTAGAGCTGCCTGGTGCAGGAGGGTTGTATCCGTAGCTATGCTGTGGGTAATGTCCTGCAGCGGCTCGGCACTCCCACTCTGGAAAGTCCCTCAGAGCTATTTCTGACAGGACATGGAAAGTCCCTCAGAGTGAATTCATTGTTTGCTAATTTAAAAGTCATGTGTTGTACTGAGAGAGGCTGCTCCCCCCTTGCAAATCAAGAGATACTGTCACTTCTGGTTTGTTAATCTTATCAGGGCACGCACAGGGTAAAAATGTTCTGCAGCTGGAAAGCTCAAGCTTCAAAAAAATGAATAGAGCTGATGTCAGTTTTGCTTTCTGTTCAGGCAGACTAGAGTTCACCTCTCAAAGGGACATACAAAACTGAACGAGTGCAGTCTGCTTGGTCATGACTTGCACTTCTGTTTCAAGCTCTGTGGATCACGTGAAAACTTAAGTTTAGGTTTAAAAGTGCATTTTTCAGCCTTTGTAAATATTTAGTGGCATTTGGATAAAGCAGTTTGTGGTGGGGCTGAAGGGTTTTTTCTCTCTCATTAGTGACCTTGTTTCCTGTATGGGTTTCCTGATGAATCTGCCTGCATGTACATACAGAACAGAAGGCTGTGGGCATGAGCCTTTAGATTCAGGTGGAAAGTCCGAGAAGGGATGCAGAAACTAAAACCAGCCTGTTAGAACAAAAGCAAAGAGCCCAAAATGTTCCCAGTGGTATCCAGGCAGAGGGAGTTTGTGGTACCTCGGCTCTGATGCATTTCTCCTCTTGCCTTGCAGTACCTCCAGCTGCCCATGCCCCTCTCTTGTTTTATCAACATATCCTCAGTTCTCATATTTTTGCTTTTCATCCCACCAGCTCCCATTTTTCACCCTCCCTCCAGGGCTGAAATGGGAGGAGGGGGCTGTGGAGGGGGGTCAGCCTCGGCATTCCCCTTGGTTGCCCCGACAGGGGATTTAACTGTGCCCCCTTCAGCTGGGAAGAAACAGAATTATCTGAGACATAAGGAACTTGAATTGACCAAGTTTAGGAAGAAGAACTAATTTTTAAGCTTAATCCTGACAGCAGTATTTAAATTAAGTTTTGGGGGGCAGTTCTAGGAAAACAGATTGGCTCAGCTCCTGAGGCAGTGTGACTATCAGCTGTGGGGATAACTTGGCCTAATCCATGCTGGAGGGGATGTGGTTTCCTTGAGTTTGTTGTTGACACCTTGGTTTTAGAGAGTTCGCTGTAAGTGAAGCTTGGAAGGCTGTGGAAAGTGCAAGACTCAGAACTCAAGTGATGTTATTCCAAAGCCTGTGGTGTCGGAAAGGATGTTCCTTCTGGGCTTCCTGGGACCAGGAGAACAGGATAACTGGGCAGTTCTTTCCTGCCCAGTGTTCTTACTGAGAGATGCTGGAGAACCCCTACTGCACCCCATGTAGGGAAAACTGTCCCCCTTCAAGAATGCTTCTGGGGGCCCTGAGCCAGGGCCTCCCACTGCCCCATCACCTTGTCATGCCCCCCTTTCCCAGCTGTACCCCAGGAATGGGGTGATTTTCAGCTGAGACGGAAACTTCATCTTCAGGCTTTTGCACATTGCTCAGAGCAGAGCTGCTGGTCTTTGGAGCTCCTTCACCTGGCTCCTGCTACTCCAAAGATGTACCTCTGAGTGTTGTATCAGTGTTGTCTGTGTGGGGTACAACACTCAAGATGCTGTGGCAGGCATGGTGATGCCGTGTCAGGGTGACCAACCTTCTCTTTAAAACTCAGTACAGCATTTATTGTCTTTTTCTGAAGGTTTTGGCTCCAAGTTCTGGCCTGGTGGTGAAGTGCAGTTTGCAGCCAGCTCCAGCCTGAGTAGCAGGACCAGACCACTTTCTGGTGGGCGAATCCCTGACTTGCATGTGCAGGTGACCAAAAGGACCTGCTGCTTTGGTAAAAGGGATCTGACACATCTTTATTTTCCAGAGCTGGAGCCGCAGACACATCCCAGCTTCCCTTACAGTCCCCACAGTAGTTTGTGTAGCTGGCTGCCCAGGCCCCAGGCGGTTTCCCTTCCAAGCCCATGGTGGGAGATAAATCCACGGGGAGCGCCAGAGAGCATGCGTGGGAGGGGGTTGGAAAGCCCGGGCTGTGGAGGGTCTGCTCTTCATTTCTAAAACCAGCTCAGTCTTCTTGTGGTGGCCCAAAAATTAACAGTTTTGGCATCTGCCCATTGGAGAATGAAAAGCTGTCAGTCACAAATTTGAAGTGGAGGTGAGTGCTGTGTGTCCCTTCTATACCTGAGGAAACCCCTTGCCATGCATGCAGCTGAGGGGGTTGTAGGGCCAGGCGGATGTTCTTTGGGCTCCAGGTGTCTGGCAGGAGCCAAAGCCATAATCACACACACACCCCCTTGGGCACTTCCAACCTCTTGGACAGCAGAGAGAAATTGAGTTTGAAATTAAGCTGCTCACCACAGGCTCAGCCTCTCCAGCATGTAAAAGACACCTCTCCCCGTTGAAATATTTGTCTTATCTCCCCTTTTCTGAGTGCCAGTGGTGTCCTCAGCCTCACGCTGTAAGAACCCTTCTGTTCACAACCTTCATCTCCACACTGCCTGCGGGGCAGAGGAGCCACCCTTGCCCCTGCCCACCATCTGCAGCTCCCAGAGCTTGACCAGTGCCAGCACCACCCTTCTGGTGTGGAGGTCAGGTAGAACCCATGAGAACCCTCATCCTGAGGCTGTCCCTTGTGATCTGAGTGGTTAAGGTGAAGCTTTGAGTGCTGGAAAGGAGGGAGATTCTTTCCAGGAGTGTTGTCCTGGGAGCTGGTCAGTATGGGCAGTGCTGTCACAGAATCACAGGGCGGGTAGGGTTGGAAGGGACCACAACGGCTCATCTGGCTCAACCTCCCTGCTCAGGCACGGTCATCTCAGAGTACATGGCACAGGACTGTGTCCAGATGGTTCCAGAATATCTCCAGTGAGGGAGACTCCACACCATCTCTGGGCAGCCTGTCCCAGTGCTCAGTCACTGCACAGTGCAGTTCTTCCTCGGAGTGTGACCGCCAGCCCTGCAGCACCTCCGCAAGCACACAGCAGATATGCCATCAGAGAGGAATTCAGATCCTGGCTACAAACCTGCTGGTGCCTGGCTTCCTTAGTGTGGCCGTGTGACTGATGTCACCTCCCTGGTGACAGAGTGTTCTCCAGTAGTGACCTCTTTGGGTGTGAACAGCATATCTTGTGCATTTTGACATGACCAGGACTGTGACTGTTAATTGTAGCCTGGAAGACCTGCAGAGTTGTCTCTGATCAGATGTTCCCAGTTGCTTTGACCCTTCCTTATGTGTCAACCAGCTGTTTAAGGAGACTCAGTGTAGTCCATTAATTTCCTTGGCAAGCAGATTTAGTCCTTTTGGTTTTGCAGTGCAGCTGGCCATGTCCAACGTGGGGAACAGTGGAGCTGGACCAGGGCAGGGTCAGACTCAGGCTGATCTAAAATGCCCTGGGGGTCCAGCCCTGGCTCTGTTTTGGAGTAGAGTTTCCCTAGGAAAATCATTCCTCTGTGATGATAGAGGGATTTGGAAAAAGCACGCTGGATTGTGCCACCACCTCATGCTTGTCTAGTTCAAAGCAACCGGGGAAAGGCAGAGTCTGTTTTAGGAAATGATGGAAAACCTGATGCTGCTTCAAATGCATCTCATACCCTTTTCTGCCTTCAGAACCTGCTCTTGCCTTCACACCTGTCTTCAGTGCCTGAATGCTGCTTCGGTGTCCCTCTGCCAACAAGCCCCAAAGCAAAGCCTCTCTCACATCAGCCCTAAAAGCTGATGAGTAAAACATCAATGCCAAAAGCAAGAGTTCCTGACCACTTCTGTCATCAGCTCGGGTGGGCACTGGGCAGCAGTGAGGGAGTGCTGTGTTGCCGTGCCCTTGCTGCCCTACATCCACCCAGCTGGAGCCAACAGCAACTACTGATAGGAACTTCGTCCTTGGTTTTGACAGTTTCTTTGAGGTTTGATTACTTGTGGTGCCTAGTGAACTTGCTTGGATCTGTCACCAGCATGTCCCACCAAAGGGAGAAGTTTGCGTCTGGCACCAGTTTGTGTGAGTCTCAGAAAGCTCCCATTCCCACTTGGCACTGGGAATTACAGACTGGGTTCCTGCTTTCCAGCCTTGTGTTGCTGGTTCCATGCAGTAGCACAAGGACTGAGCCTGTGGTCACCATGGGCCTGGTAGCCTAGCCCACCTGCATGGGGAGAGGTTGGAGCAGGCCTGGCATAGAATCAGCTTAGGACTCTCCTGGCATTAGGAGCTCCAGTATGGAAGGGTTTGGTGACTTCAGAGGAGCAGGACATCCCAAAGTATCTGCCTTGTGTGGCACATTCCCGTCTTGGAGACTCTGGAGCCCCTGGGGAACTGGGAGAGGTGCTTGAAACAACTCGTGCTTCTTGGCGCAATGGATTCGGGTTCCCTCAAAACCCTCTCTTTTACACTGGAGACCCATTTTCCTCTACGTTTTCCTCTACAATTCCATGGGCCCATCCTTTTCCTTGTAGCCAGGCTAAGATGGTGAAGGAGCCAAGTGCTGGACATGGCAATGCTGGGGCTGGAGATTGCCCAAGCCCTGACAGCCACCAGTGTGCCCTGTGCCATGGCACCTGGCTTTCCTCTGCCGTCCTGGTAGTTTTCCTTCATTTTTGTTGCTCCCATCCAGCCGCCAAGCCCTTGAGCTGTGTCTGCTTATGGTTGCTGTTGTTGTGCTCAGAGCAGACTAACGGACTGACTTTCCAAGACCAGGAGACTTTGCAGGAAGGCTGCAGGGTGCAGCTCACTGTGAGTCTGTCCTTCTGTCCCTCTGCCAGCCCTGCCCTTTGCTGTGACCTTCCCGCAGGCTCTGGCAGAGGTATCGTGCAGCAGCTGCTTCAACAGTGGTGTTTCCCAGCCACCTGCCTTGTCACTTTGCTGGAGGGGGAACCCTGTGTCACACTGGTGGATTCCCAATGTGGTTACAAGAGCTCCTTAAAACTGGACCTGTGTGGATGTGGCAGATAATGAGCAGAGCAGCTGGGCAGCAGGGGCACCTCCTGCTCTGCCACCAGGGTATGGGGATAATGATTTCCAGCAGAAGCCTCTTCCATAGTTGAAGTCAAGTTTAGCGACACCCTAAGAGGTGAAGTGGCAATGAGATTAAACTGCAGCTTTCGCTTTTGTCTGAAGCAGAGAGAGGGGAGCAGCTCATCCTGGCATTGTGATAGAACCATAGAATATCCCAAGCTGGAAGTGACCCACAGGACCGTCCGGTCCAGGTCTTGACTCTGCCCAGGACACCCCAACAATTCCACCCTGTCCCTGAGAGCACTGTCCAAACACTCCTTGAGCTCTGTCAGCCTTGGGGCCGTGACCACTGCCCTGGGGAGCCTGTTCAGTGCCCGACCACCCCATGGGGGAAGAACCTTTTCCGAGTATTTAACCTAAACCTCCCCTGGCACAGCTCCAGGCATTACCTGGGGTTCTGTCACTGATCCCAGAGAGCAGAGGTTGGTGCTGCCCCTCCAGAGAATTGCCTGTCTGCTGGTGGTGGGTGATGGACAGGCTGCTGTGGGATTGTCTCACTGTTTATTATTAGGGAGTGAAATCGATGTGCGGATCAATCAGCAGTTTTGGTTTTAATGGGGTGGGAAGAGCCAGATGTTGCTGACAGGCTTTTAACCTGGTTGATTTTCCTGCTCCTGCTGTTGGATGCTGCAGGCTGGCATGTGCCTCAGTGGGTGAGAATCAACACTGAGGTCACCAGAGATTAGCCCTGAAGGTCTGAGCCAGACTGTTGTCTTCCAGCCCCCCTTTAATTCTTCCATGGCCGTCCCCTCCCTCTGTCCCCTGTCTAATTTGATTTCCACTCTAGTTCCTTCTGGGAGAGGATCAGCTCTTGCCTAGCCCTGCTCGCAGCCACGGCTTTCCAGAGCTCCGGAAAACATTCCCAGTGAATGCCTGGATGACAGTGGTGCTCGTCCCTGTAGCAGGGGCTCACAGATGTGGGTGTAGGAAAGGTGTAAACAGAGGGATTGTCCCATTCCTGTGGGAGTGGAGTGTGGCAGATGAGGCTCAAGTGCCAACCTCTGCTCTCGTTGGCTCCGGGGTGGGGTGGATTTCTTCCAGCAGTGATACCATCCATCTCTGTTCTGACACCCACGTGGGGTGGGAGGAACAAGGGATTCCAGAAGAGCCTGAAACTGTTTATACAGAAATGTTTGTCTGGAGGTTTGGATCTGCACTGGCTGAAGCTACTGGGTGTCTTAAATCGTTTACATACAGAGCAGTTGCACTGTGAGCTCGGCAGGGCTGGTTTCCTTCCTGTGCTGCAGGCAGGGCTGCCTGCTCTTGGGTGTGGTGCTGCCGGGAGTTGGAATGGAGGATAAATGCTGGGAGGTGGGGAGTGTAGAGGGGTGGTAGTTTTACACTCAGCACGTTAGCATGGGAGACCATATGTTTAAAATAATCTCTTTTAAAATAGTTGTCTCTACAGTGAAGTTTCCTTCCTTCAGCCAGACCGTCTGTCCTTCTGCCAGTGCTTTGTGGGTCGTGGGGGAGATGCTATCGGGTGTTTCTAGCACAGGAGAGCACTAGGTGGGTAGAAGAAAGGGCTCAGCCCCTCTGAGTGAGTGGGATGAGGGCAGGCACTTGGCCTCCTCCTGCACAGGCAGAGGTGTCTGTGCTGGGAGAGTGTCCGTGCAGGAAGAGTGTCCGTGTGGGCAGCAGTGCCCCCCGCAAACCCTGCCGGCTGGCTGGTCACCAGGGACATGCAGTGAAGCTCTGAGCCTGGTTACTCACTTAAAGCATAAAAAGGAGAGAGTAACCAAGAAGCCGACGCTGAGCCACTGATGGTTTCATTTTCCACTTTCTGATGTGTAACAGGGTGAAGTTTTCCAACCCCATATGTGTTTCCCCCCCTCGCTCTGCCCCAAGACAGGACCTTCTGTCAGTAGAGACTAAATGCGAACAAGTTTTCAAACATCTCGTTTCAGACAGCTGCATTAGAAATGCTCCTTGTTGGTATATTTTCTGTCTCTACCATGGCAGGAGACTTCAGTGCCCTTATCTTTTAATCTGAATTTTGGTCTGCATATTCATGGTGTTTCCAATGCCTAATTTCAACTGGTCAGTGTGTAAAGAGAAGGGTTAGGCAGTGTGGAAACAACACAGAAGCTGTGGCATATTCCAGCATTCCCAATTTAGCTGGCATTGCTGCCCAAGAGTCTGCTGAGGACAGAGGATCATGTTGCCCTGATCAGTTGCTCAGCCCCTCTGGCCATCACACAACCCATGAGCTCTGGCTGCAGGGGCAGGTGCTTGTGTGCAGGGACTGCTAAATGAAAGTTTAAAAATATTACAGCACTCAGCTGTAATAAACTATAAACCGACCTTCAGTGGGGCTTTTATGTAGAGGACAAATATCTCATGTTCATTTTTTCACAGGCTCATGATGAAGTCTGCCCTGAATTCCCACTGACTTGTGAAGGCTGTGGGAAGAAGATTCCCAGGGAGAAGGTATCCATCCAACCCTGTGCCGTGGAGGTGTTTGTCCCTATGGGCTGAGCTTGGCATTCTGGGAACAAGGAGGAAAACTGAGTCCATTAGGAAGTGGAGTGGAGAGAATGATGGAGTGGCAGCTGTTAGTGTGGATGTGACCTTTCCGTAAGGCTGAAAGTACTGGGTGGGTGTGAGGGAACGTGACTCACCAGCGCTTGCAGGTCTGTGCTGGTGCTGCTGATGACACCTCATGTCTGGGAGCAAAGCCTTTGTGGGAAAAGCACGCTCATGGGTTTGTGTCCTGCAGTTATGGCAAGGGAGCCCATCTCCAGCTATATTAATTGATTTCTAATTAACCATCTAATGGAATCCATGTATGTAGGATCTCTGTGCTGCTGGCTCCTGGGACAAGGCTCAAAAGTCTGAAAAATCAAAGTTTTGGAAAAACATATTCAGAAAGCACATTCATCTGAAACCATCCTGCCTGCTACGGGCAGATGTTTTTTAGTAGCAGAGCAAGGGAACAGAGGCAGCAAAAAGAGGACCAAAAGAGTTCTTCTAAATGGGCAGTGTAGGGCACGGCTGGGGGCTGGCGAGGCAGCCCAGCTTGTCTGGGGGCTGGAGTTTTGGGTACAGCCCTGCTTGTCTGCAGGTTGGAGCTGAAGCCCTGCAAAGAGCTGGCTCGTGGGATCCCCATGGGTAATCTACTCTGTGTTTAAATTTTAACTCCTTTGTTTATCTCTCCAAACTCTTGTTGATTATCTGCAGCCGTGTTAACTCTGAGTAACCTGACACATTACGCAAGCTAGATGGATCTAGAAACCTTTAAAAATGTAGTTTAAAACCAGTTTTAATTGACGTCTGTTGTAGCAGATGTAGGAGTTAAGTGGGGAATATGATGGTTGTTCAGAACAGAATTCTGGTATCTGTTGAGAGGTGTATCAAACTCAAGCTGATGCTGTGCCAGTGCTTGGTGGATTAATCATATGCTGTGTGGGAACCCGAACAAGTCATCTCAGTGCTGGGGTGTTAGTGGCACCTCTCTGCAGAAATATAATGCTGGGATGGAGGTAAAAATACCAACCTGTGGCACATCCTCACCAGTGTTATGTGAAGTGCCCAAAATGAAACGTGTCCCCGTTTTGTGGGGTTGTTCCCTCTGCCTCCCTTTCCTCAGCCCTTAGGGAAGGTTATTGCTCAGCATGTGCAGCTTGTACCTGTGCTGCTTGCTTTTTCTCTCTTGTATGTGCTGGTGAACAGTGAGACCTCCCAGCCATCAAGAGAAGGAGAAAGTAAGCTTTCTTCAGAGGTCAGGGCTGTATGTATATACAGTGAAAGTCATGCCTGATGGCAGGCAGTGCCCAGGTTTAGCCAAGCATGGTGACAGCTAGTGATTAGCCTTGGGTGTTCTTCAGCTCGGCTCAGTTCCCCAGATGTCAGTGAGATGAAAAGGGAGCACTGGGGACACATCAGATCTAACAGTGTCTGTCTTCCTTCCTTCTTTCCTTTCTAGTTTCGGGACCATGTGAAGACCTGTGGCAGATCCAAAGTGCCTTGCCGGTTCGAGGCTGTGGGCTGTGCTGAGGTGGTAAGGGCTCCTCTCTTGGTTTACCTTGAGGCTTTTCAGTCCCAGTATTAGAGTTCACCTGCAAGCTGCTGTTGCCCAAGCTGGCCCAGGTGTCTGTGTTCAGGTAATTGAACAAAGAGAGGTTTTAAACCCTTTGCACATGGAGTTTCACATCATCTGCTGTGCAGAGTCTGAGTATCGCATGAACTTCCTGTGGAACAAAATCTCCTCCTACTTGAGTGCTTTGGGACTATGGTGGTCATGCTGCTTTCAGGGGGACAGGCTTCAACTGACAGAGGACAGGGTTAGATGGGACCTTAGGAAGAAATTCTTCCCTGTGAGGGTGGTGAGGGCCTGGCACGGGTTGCCCAGAGAAGCAACGGGAAGAAGACGGGACTGGGAGCAACCTGGTCTAGTGGAAGGTGTCCCTGCCCATGGCACGGGTGGGACAGGATGAGCTTTTAAAAGTCTCTTCCAACCCAAACAAGTTTGTGATTCTGTAAGCAAAGAACTGGGGCCAGGCCATATTTCTCCGTGTCACTTAGTTTTCTGAGCTCCCACTGGTGACGTTCATATAAATCTCTCCTCTAGGGGGGTTATGTGAGGCTTATTCTTTGGTGCTGTTAAGCTCATCTGAGAGAGCCTTTCTGAGGGGGTGGAGGAAGGCAGAGCCAGACCAATGTGCACAGCTGGAGAAGTATCCAGCATCCCTCATTGTATGTGATTTGAAACACTTCTAAAACAAAACAAAAACCCACACCACCCCCACCAAAACACATTTTTTATCTTTCTTTGTTTTTTCCCCTTTATAATTTAAAATTTTCCCCCTTTATAATTTAAAACTAGTGTCGTGACCTCGAGAGGAGGAATTCGTTCTGTGAATGATGACAGTGCAAATTGTGCAGGCCGAATAGGGGATGTGTTTCTCTTCGTGTAGGTGGAAAATGAAAAGCTCCTGGAACATGAAAGCAAGTGTTTGGCGGAGCATCTCTACATGCTGCTGAGCTCTGTGCTCAGCCTCAGGGCTGGTGTTGGGGACCTGAAACCTCTTCCTGCACTTTCGTCATCACAAAACAACTCCCCGCTGCTGGCAGCAAACTCACTGTGCTCAGAGTCAGAGCTCTCCCGGTCCCTGCAGCTCTTAGGAAGGTGTGAGGCCCTCGAGAGGAAAACAGTGACCTTTGAGAACATTGTCTGTGTGCTGAACCGGGAGGTGGAGAGAGTGTCCCTGACAGCCGAAGCCTACAGCCGCCAGCACCGACTGGACCAGGAGAAAATCGAAACGCTGAGCAACAAGGTGTGTAACTGCTGACCTGGGGCCTCCCAGCACTCCCAGCAGAGGCTGTTTCCTATTTCCTTTCCATGTTATGAGCTAGCAGAGCTTCACCATCTGGCCCTGAAACTCCACAAATCTGAAGGCAGAACTAAAATACCCTTTGTGCCTGTGCCCAACCTTCAGCAGCTCCCTGGAAAAGCTGGGGACTAAACTGACTTGCATAAAGCATCAGATCTGTGTTAATTATCAAGTTGGGCAGACACCAAGGGGTTCCTCCTCAGCAAAGTTTTCCAACAAGAGCCAGAGCACCCAGGATTTCACTGCATCTCCCTGAATCCATGGGGCCGTTTGCCTTCCAGATGTTTCCAAAGGAGTGCTGCCTTTGCCAAAGGAGTGCCTTCATTGCTGCTGCCTGCAGCATTGTGCCACGCACAGTCTGAAGGTGTGAAGGAGCTGCCCACACCAGTCTGCTCCAGCACAGTTCCTATGGAGTGCTCCCAGTGTTCCTGGCACCCAGAGCTGTGCCGTTTGCAGTGAACCTGTGCTCTCTGGGCAAGGGAGCTGCCCAACTGGCGTGACCCTGTGTGAGCTGGCAGGGACGAACCTTCCGGAGGGTGAAGGTTCTTTGCTTTCTCAATTTAGTTTTGTCACAGTGCTGAGTTATTGGGGTTTTTTTCTCCTCATCCTCACTTCTTGTGCTGCTCACCCAACAGAGTGGCTCCTTGGGAGGATTTTTCCGCTGTCTGTGGGAAAGCTTCCAGCTCAAGTACTGAGCTGTAGCCGTGAATCTTCTCCAGAATGTCGGGGTACAGAAGGAAGCCTCGGTGAATTGGCTTATGTTGCTTGATTTCTCCCTCCTATGATCCCTGTCTTTTCTGGAGAAGGTCTCCCACTAAGGAGCAGTCCTGGAGGGGATGTAGAAGTGTGCTGGTGCGTCCAGGTGGTGCCAGTGCTGCCAGTGTTGCCGGCTCTTGCCAGGCTCACAGCCTGCGTGTTTCTGACCAGGCTGCACCATGTGTCCCACTGAGCAGGTCCGGCAGCTGGAGAGGAGCATCGGGCTCAAAGACCTGGCCATGGCAGAGATGGAGGAGAAGATCCGCAACATGGAAGCTTCCACCTATGATGGGGTCTTCATCTGGAAGATAACGGAGTTTGCCAGGAAGCGTCAGGAGGCGATAACAGGCCGCTCCCCTGCCATCTTCTCTCCAGGTGTGCAAAATCCCCAAAACCTTTTGTGTCTCAGCTGGGTGTGGGGCTTGTGGTGGGTCCTTCACTGCCAAGGCCAGGTTGGATGGGGCCCTGAACACCTGGTCTAATGGAATGTGTCCCTGCCCATGGCAGGGGATTGAACTATCTGATCCTTGCATAACCCTTTTGTTGGAATTAAAATACTCAGAGACTGTAAAACCAACAATAAAATGGTTAAGAAAGGGAGGAAATATATATTAGAGCCCCAGAAATATATTTTTAATGCCTAAAGCATAACTATGCAAGAGACAATGTCAAAATAAAGCCCAAACCTTACCTAGGGAAGTGCTCAAGTATCTATCAGAGGAAGGGGCTCTCCTCACAGAGCTTCCCCAGCCCAGCACTGGGACAGTGAGCAAGCAGCACATTGGGATCTGGTTGTTTTCTTGGGAAGGCATTTCCCAGATGTGAGCAGTAAGCTGAAACCAACTCCTCACACAATTCCCTGGCAGAGCTCCAACTTTGGGGTGCTCGTGCAGGCAGCAGTGTGGTGCAGGTATTTTAAGACCCAAACGTGGCTCCTCCCAGATTCCAAACTTCAGAGCCCTCAAATTTCAGAGGGATCTTCTGGTGCCAGGCTATGCTGGGTTGGACCCTCACTCTTCCTGTTCTGCACCTCTCTGACAGCTTTCTACACCAGCAAGTACGGCTACAAGATGTGTCTCCGTGTGTACTTGAACGGGGATGGCACCGGGCGTGGGACCCACCTGTCCTTGTTTTTTGTGGTGATGAAGGGACCCAACGACGCGCTGCTGCGGTGGCCCTTCAACCAGAAGGTGGGTCTGGAACAGAGCCTGCTGTGCCCAGCCATGGGCCTCTCTGGTTTGGCATCCACTCAAGCTTCTCATCACTCTCACTCTGGCCCACTTGGCAAGGAGGAGAAAGGACTCTGTCTTGGCTGCCCTGGGGATTCCCCGGGTGTGCTAAGAGCACCAGGTGTGCTGTGGGGCAAGGGGGTGACATGGGTTGTTCAGGACCCCACAGAGCATCTGCAGGGGTTGAAGGTGAGGGAAGTTTGTGGTGGCCTCGGAGCTTGGTGTCGGGAGCTCAGATCCCAGCTCCTGGGCCCTGCAGGTTTGGGGAACATGTGGAGGCTGAGCAGACATGCATAGATGCAGAGAGGGAACACTGCCTTTGGCAGGAGAAAGCAGCTCAGGGAAATACCTGAGTGCAGTGTTGGTGTTGTGAGCAAGGTGTAGGTTTCAGTCAGTCCGACAGCCCTGTGCTGCCACAGGGAAGTTTGCAGTGACAGGCAGGATGTGGGATGGTTTCTGCAGGATGTCACTGAGGTAACATTCTCTGCTGGCCCCACTTGGAGGCATTTCTCTGCAGTTGCACGGGGTGGCTGTGGCTGCTGGTACCTGCACCTGTTACAGCGGGTCACTGGGCTGGGCTTCCATGTGCCTGTTACTCAGCCACTCCCTTGTGTTTTCACCTTCCCCCACAGGTCACCCTGATGCTCCTGGACCAGAACAACCGGGAGCACATCATTGATGCCTTCCGCCCCGACGTGACGTCCTCCTCCTTCCAGCGCCCTGTCACGGAGATGAACATCGCCAGTGGCTGCCCCCTCTTCTGTCCTGTCTCCGTCATGGAAGCCAAGAACTCCTACGTGCGTGATGACGCCATCTTTATTAAAGCCATCGTGGATCTCACAGGCCTCTAACCCTCCTCACCTTGGAGCAGTGAGCGTGGAGCCAGCCCTGCCCGGGGCATCCCCCGCTTGTGCTGCACTTCAGGCAGGTCTCGGAGCAAGGAGGGGGCACGGAGTGGAAGGGAAAAGCCCTTCCCGAAAAGGGACCTTCGCTCTGAATGGAAACGAGGTGTCTGATCGGAACCCTCTTCCTGAGGAGAGGTTTGGGTGGACATTGGCAGGCTGTGGGATATGGAAGATTTCCTGCAGGGACTTGGGCGTCTGAACTGCTGCTCTCTGGGCTCCCAGTGGAAACCAATGCAGCTCTTGCTCTACCAGTTTAGTGCGCATCCACGGTGCTCTGTAGTAAAACAACAGTTTGCCCTGCCCAAGCTCCACCGTGGTGCAAGAGAGACACGGACTGGTTTGATGCTGGGTTGATGCAGTCGGTGTCTTCAGGGGGTGCGGAGCTGCAGGGCAGGGGAGCCCTGAATCCAGCCCTTGCTGGGAGTGGGATGGTTGGTGAGTGCTGGGAGTGTGGAATGGGGCAGGAGGTGTTGCTGCCCAGAAGGGAGCCTGGAATAACACCAGGGATGCCCATAGGGAAAGAGAAGTGAATCTACCCTGGAGACCGTCCATCCTGTGCCAGCAGAGGAGCCTGACACAGGGCTCAGTATGTACCCTGAGAGCCCCAGGTCCTGCCACTCTCTGGGCAGCATGGGGCAGGGTGGGGGCCAGGCTGGGAGCTGTCTTTGCTCACAGGCAGATGCTCTGTGCTGGCTTCCCTCCCATCGTGGGGCAGCTGCACCAGCCTTCCCAGGGCTCTTGCCGCTGCCAAGCTCCACGTCTGTCTGTGCCTGTGCTGCTGTGTCTGTCTGTCTGGGCACTGTCACCTCTGGCTGTGGCACTGATGGACGGGGCACGTCTCCTGTCTGCCCATGCAGTGGGCAGTGCCAGCCAGCCCCTGCCCTCCCCTGGGGCCTGCAGCTACCAGCAGCAGCTGTCCCTGCCCATCGCTGGGCTTGGGAGTCGTGGGCCAGCTGGTTCCTCGTCAGAGCACTCTGGAGCTCTTCCTCTGCTCAGCCCCCTTTGAGCCTGCAGCCACCTGGGTAGGACCTGGGGGCTGGAGAAGTCCCTCAGTGAAGTGTGCTGTCCCCTTTCTGTCCCTGGGCTCCTTCCCTCTGGGCAGCACATGTTTAACACCCATGAGAAAATATCTCTCTCAGTGTTTGTGGGGAAGAACCAGCTGCCACATCCCTGTGTGGTGCCAGCTGGTCCTTCTGAAACTGTTGTGGGTTCCTGAGCCAGGGGGGACTTGAGGCTTTGTTGCCTTCTCTGCCTGTGCTTCTGGCACCTCTGTCAGTACCCCAGGAGATGTTTTGTTGGTGGCAGGAACCGGCTGTGAACACCCCTGCAGTCAGTGATCAGGGGCCCTGGCTGGCTCCTGTGGGCAGCAAGGCTGGAGCGTGGCCATCCTCCTCCATGGCTGCCTGGATTGCCCTGAAAGGGAGTGGCAGCTGTGCTGGGCCTGCGGGTTGCGAGGCTGCAGGGGAGGAATTCCCAAAGGCCCCCTGCCGCCAGCAGCTCCTGCCAGGTGCCCAGCCCTGGCCTGATGGCTGCAGAGTCCACCCTTGCTTGTGGTGTGTTCCTACCTTGGCTCTGGCACAGCCACCCTGGCAGGGCCCAGGACACCATTAGGTGAGGGACTGTGACCTGACGGGGATCCCTGTAGGGTCTGGCTGTGCCCCCACACACTGGCACTGCCCTGACCTACCCCTGGGGCTGTTTGAGGTGTCCCTGCTGCTGCCCAGGGAGCTCGGTGGTGCCCAGTGTCCTCCAGGCTGATCTGAACCTCCCACAGCCATGGCTGCTGTGCTGACCAGGGGCTCTCCCTGTCTTTGAGCCCCCTTTGGAGTCTTTGTGTAGAACTTGTCACACCTGTGTGTGCAGGGAGCAGGAGAAGGGGGACAGGAGCCTGTGCGGGACAGAAATGGCAGGGGGAGGAGGCAGGACCCTTCCTTTGTGCAAGTCCCCTCCAGCCTGTCCCATGGGACATATCAAGCCCTGTGCTGCTGCTTTCACCCTGTGCCTTAGGAGGAAAATCCAGCCTAGCAGAAGCCCTGCTCCCACCCACTGCAGCTCTCTAGGGAGGCTGAGAAAAGCCTGGGAAGGGAGAGGAAGGTCAGCTCTTCTCATTGAGTGGTTGTGAATAAAGTGTGTTATGGGGGCGGTGCTTGTTCTGAGTTGATGTGAATGTCTTTGCTCTTGAGGTGCTGCCTGCAGCAGGGCTGGGGTCTCCAGCCAGGTAGTGCCAGGAGTGGCTGTGGAGACACTGGCTCAGCTGGGGGAGTCTGGGTGGCTTTCAAGGTGGGAGATGGTCCCCTCCTGTCCCAGCACATGCCTGGAAGGTTGGTGGGAGAGTCCGTGCTGCGAGCAAAGCTCAGGCTGAGCCATTCCAGCCATGGTGGGGCCAGGGGGCTGCTACTGGTGGAGGGGTCATGGCCTGTCAGCCCCTTCCTGGAGCTTTTCCTGGCTGTGCAAGGATGAGGAGGATGAGGCTGCAGCTCTGGTGCTGTAGATGCTGTCTGGGCCTTTTTTGGGTTTTAGCAGCTCTTGAGCTGGCAGTAGGAATTGTGTCCATGTGCTGCAGGCAGGAGTCCAGCCCCTTCCTGGGCTCAGCTCTGCCAGCCTGGCCATCACATGGACACTGGGCACAAGCCACCGCTGGATTTTTGTGGGGTTTTTTCCCTTTTTTTCTCTTTTGACCACACCATCTCAGCCTGGCACTGTGAACTAAGTTGTTTGTTTTTTTTTTTTTCCTTGAGGATGTAGTATGGTCAGAACCACTAATAAAACCTGTTTGAACAGCATTTTGTGTATGAACTGTGGGACGCTGGGGCAAGACTGACTCACGGTGGTGGGATTTCTGTGCTGTGGGCTCTCCCCAGCTCCTGCCTCCCTGCAGCCTGGGGCAGCTGCCCAGCACCAGGGGGGCTGGAGCAGGAAGGGAAGGAGCTGGAATCTTGCAGCTGGAGCTCCACTGGGCCAAAGAGCCGGTGCAGTGGTGCTGGCTCAGTGTTAGCAGAGCAGAACCACTGGAAAGGCAAATCCAGCACTCCTGGGTTATAACAGCTCTGAGCTCCTCTGGGACAGGCTGCTTTTCCCTCCCTGCTGCTGGGAGTCTGGTGTCTGCAGGATATCTGTTCCTGCCCATCCCGAGCTGCAGCACCTGCCCGGGGACTAAACCTGTGTGGGGAGCAGCAGCCTGGTGGCCTCTACTCACTGTGTGTAGAAGAGACAAACAGAAGGGATACCCATGGGGGTCTGTCCCCTCCTGGGAACCCCCAGCTCCATTTCATAGTGGCTACTGCTGCACCAGGAATAAGCAAAGGGCTGTGAGGGGTCAGTGGCATTGCAGCTCAGGATGCTGCTGTGGCTCAGGAATGCCAACCAGCAATAACAGGGCTCTCCGCTTACCTGCTCCATGCCTGTTAGTGCTTGGAAAAAAATGTAAATCCAGGAGGAATCCATCCCCTGGCCTGTTCTGGAGCCTGCAATGCTCAGCCCTGACAGAGAAGAGCATTCCCAAGGCTGCCGGGGACTGCTGCTGCCCTTCCCCTGGGCTGTTCCATCCTCCTCCCTGAGGGCAGAGGACATTTGGGCAATTCCCTGCCTCTCACAGCTCTCTGCCCACACTCCCTCACCCAGGGCAGGTAACCACAAGCTGGACAGCAGTTCCTGCAGTGCCCCAGTCCAGCCCTGTGACAGTCCTGGCCTCAGTTCTGCCTCAGCGGAGCAGCACTCCAAAAAACAAGCTCACATTGCAGAGATGCTTTAGCAGAGTATTTATTCAATGCCAGAGTGAAGAGCAAAACTCAGTACAAACAACCCCTTGGTGCCTCACTCGCTGCTGCACCAAGCCATGGGTGGAGAGTTCACAGTTGGGAGAGGAGAAGGGAAAGGCTGTTCCTTCACTGTGTGACTGCACAGAGCGGGATGTGGAGCCTGTGCGTGCACACACACACACACACAGAGGAAGGAACCCCTTGATTCATGACAGAAAAAACCTGAGTACGGGGGTTTTGGAAGAAGCTGGGGCACAGCAGAATGTGGCTGCCGACCCTCCTGCTGCAGGGACTGCTAAAGCCATCAGTGCCATCATGACAGGAGCTGCCACCTCTGTCAGGTCTATCTGTAACCCCAGGCTGTGCTGGGGGCTCCCAAGGGGGGCCCTGAAACACCTCTCCTTGCCTGGGCTGCAGCTTCTTCCCAGCCCCACTCTCAGGAGTGACAGCAGCTCCTGGGAGCCCTGGCTAGGCCAGGTCAAGATTAGGAGCTTCACTTCAGACTCTGACATTTGGGTACCTGCTATGGGGAGAGAAGCTTCAGGGACAGACAGTGAACACCACTGAGTCCATAATCACTCAAAGTCACCAGCCCCACCAACCTCAGGATCCTGGGGGAGCTGAGCCCGCACCCACAGCGGGTCAGCCCCAGGGACAGGGAGCTTATTCAGCTGTCACTGCAGGCAGGAGGACTCCGTCCCCATCACCTGCAGGTGAATGAATACCTGCAGCACCTGTGGGTGCCTACACCTATTCACAGAGAACTTACCAAGAGAAGCTAAAGTGCCATAACTTGGGTAGCATGGGAGGGAGGTGACAACAAGCCCCACCAGCCATCCTCACGGGTGCCCCAGAATGGGACAGCAGATCCCTCACAATAAATACGTTCATTGATCCATAGCTTACTGAAGTGCTACTCAGCAGAGGAAGACAGAGGCAAAGCCAGCACCATGTTACCACCAGCCCTCCCCGCTCCCGAGTTTCGAAACTGGCAGTATAAACACGCAGTTCCCAACGAGGCATCAACAGGCAGTGGAGGCCAGCCAGGCCCCCAGCCCTGCCTCCCCTCCGTCCTCTCACTGCCCCCCAGTTCCTGCCACCTCCTAGGAAGAGGCACCATGGGGAGGAGGCCCTCAGCATTCCTCAGCAGTCAGATGAGTTGCCCATGGAGGTTTTGGACAAACACACAATAAAACACCTATGTTAAAGTCAGGCAGTGCAGCTGCACCACGGCTACTGCCAAGCGCTCTGCAGCCGGCGGCTCCCGGCAGGGTCAGCCACATCCCAACCTCACAAAGACCCACACTGGACATGCCTCAGTGTCCTCCAAGCCCAGAGCTCACCCAGAGAACTGTGCCCAAGCAGCAGTGCTGGTGAGAAGCTGTGGGGAGCCCACCTTGCAGTGACCAGCTCAGCTGCTGCCTGATGGGCCCAGAATAGGCCCCTCGGCTCTTATGTTCTGTCTTTGAAGCAGATGCTCCAAGGAGGAGGCAATTCCCGCTGCTGGGGCTCCTCCTGGCTCAGCCATGGGATTTGTGTGCCCAGAGCTCATCTCTGTGCAGGGCTCAGGGCTCTGAGAGCTCCGGAGGAGGTGCTGCAGTGAGGAAGCTGCAGGAGCAGGTGTACCTGGGTTCAGCTTTTCTGGTTCATGAGCCAGGAGAACAGCAGTTTCCGGGGCCGGGGCCTCCTGGCCTGCCGGATGCGCACAGCCCGCGGGGACCGCCACACCTTGATGGTGGTGTCATCGCTGGCTGTCAGCAGCAGCTCCTGCTCCACCGGGCTGAATGCCACCGAGTTCACCACGTTGTCATGCTGCAGCTTGGCCAGGCAGATGTTGTAGTGCCGGTCCCAGATGTAGCCGTGTCGATCCTCTGCCCCGCTGTGGCAGAGAGACACCAGTCAGGGCGTCACACTGGTCAGGGCGTCAGCCCGGCAGCCCCAACACTCTGCCACTGCCACTCCCATCCTGCCGTGGGGATGGGGGCAGAGGGTGCTCCAGCCCCCGCCTCCAGAGCTTCACCCTGCGCAGGCAGCTCCCTCCGGAATCCAGGGCCCCCGCAACACCTGCAGGCCCTGAGAAAGGCATTTGCCACCCACCACCAAACACACCACAACCCCAGATTTACCCTTTCCCCAGAGATTTACAGCAGGAGCAGGGCAGACAGCCTTTATCAGCATCCTCCAATTCAGTCCCTCTGCTCTATCCAACTCCATTCCCTGCCCTGCTCCCAACACACAGGAGTGTCCTGCTCACTCCAGCTGTCCTGCAACAATGGCCTCAGGCCCTTGCGGATGCAGGGTCAGGATCCTGCCTACCCACTTGCCACACACCTCGCCACAAAGTCCCTGCTGACATCCAGGAAGATGAAGAAGCACTCCTCGTTGGGTGTGTAGGCCCGGTGCGCACGCAGGGCTCGCTTCACCTCCTTCATCGTCTTCAGGTCGAACACGTGCAGGTCGATCTCCTCGGCGATGGGGGGAGGCTGCATCGGGTCGGAGATGACGCAGTCCCGCGGCCAGGCCCGGCTGTTCACGTACAGGTACCTTGGGGAGGGCAGGGAGGGGTCACCTGCACCACGCCACAGAGCTCACAGAGCCCCTGGCACGACAGGCACTGAGCCTGCAGTCCAGGCTGAAACAGGGGAACAGGCGCTGAAACGCTCCTAGCCATGTTTGGAAAGGACAACCACACCTGGGAGGTGGCTCTAGGGGTCAGGTCATGCCTCTCTAATCCCATTAAACCTATCTTTAAGGATGGATGGGGGTATCTTGTGGGCAAGTACGGGGGGGGATTCTGCCCCTCTGCTCCGCTCAGGTGAGACCCCACCTGCAGTGCTGCCTCCAGCTCTGGGGCCCCCAACAAAGGAAGGGCATGGGGCTGATGGAGCAAGTTCAGAGGAGGCCACGGAGATTCTCTGAGGGCTGGAGCCCCTCTGCTCTGGAGACAGGTTGGGAGAGCTGGGGGTGTTCAGCCTGGAGAAGAGAAGGCTCCAGGGAGACCTCAGAGCTCCTTCCAGTGCCTAAAGGGACTTCAGGAGAGCTGGAGAGGGACTTTGGACAAGGGCCTCAAATGACAGGACAAGGGGGAATGGGCTTCAAACTGCCAGAGAGCAGGGCTAGATGGGATATTGGGAAGAAACTCTTCCCAGAGACTGTGGTGAGGCCCTGGCACAGGTTGCTCAGAGAAGCTGTGGCTGCCCCATTCCGGGAAGTGTCCAAGGGTAGGTTAGATAAGGCTTGGAGCAACCTGGTGTAGTGGAAGGTGTCCCTGCCCATGCCAAAGGGGTGGGGTCTAGATGGTTTTTAAGCTCCCTTCCAACCCAAACTATCCTAGGATTCTACAGACGATCTGCCTCAGGAATAAGACACATTTGTGTGGGCAGGTCCTCCC